ATGGCGTCTGGAGGGCCGGCTCAACAGACCTCCCCACCAGTAGGGCTTCCGCTTTGCCGAGACTGGAGGGGAGCTGGGGGGCCTGTCACCTCTCTGAACGTGTGAGCTGCACCAGGTAGAGCACCAGGGACCCCAGAACCACATACGAGAGTCCACCGGGTCCCCTCTAGGAGGTGGCAAAGACTCCAGAAACATCCCTTTCTCTTCTCCCCCGTCCTACGAGTAACCGCATTTGCTTTTGTAATTCTTAACGAGCAATATCCGCTAGAGTTTAGCCGTAACACTTCTTTTTGATCGTTTTTTTTAAGTAAAAAACACCAAAAAAAACCAAAAACAAAAACAAAAAAACAAAACCCAGAAACTTGTTCTTCCAAAGCAGAGAGCATTATAATCACCAGGGCCAAAAGCTTCCCTCCCTGCATCAGTACTTCTTCTGAGGCCTGAACCAAAAGAGAGACGCTCATAAGCCCTTTGGGTGGCCAGGCTAGCCGTGGGCCCCTCGGAGGCCCCGGGCCGGGGCAGCCTGTGGGCCCAGCGTGGGGCCGGTTCCAGCCTGCGGTCAGTATTAGCGGTGGGTCACAGCGTCCTTCCCACCCAGCCTGGGGTGGGGGCAGACGAGGCGAGGGGGCCGTTGCCGCCGGTGTTTGCTGCTAACAGGTGGGTGTCCACATGTGTCCACTGAAAGCACGTGCTTTCCGACTGAAATCAGCGCCCGAGTTAGCCTCACACGGTGACCTCTCGCCCGCCTGGACGGAGCAGGGCCCACCCAGTCGAGTGTTTCTGGGGAGCTGGACGGTGGAGTGCAAAAGGCTTGCAGAACTTGAAGCCTGCTCCTTCCCTTGCTACCAAGGCCTCCTTTTCCGTTTGATTTGTCACTGCTTCAATCAATAACGGCCGCTCCAGAGTCAGTAGTTGATGAATATATGACCAAATATCACCAGGACTGTTACTCAATGTGTGCCGAGCCCTTTCCTCGCGCTGGGCTCCCGTGTACCCGGACACTGTAACGTGTGCTGTGTTTGCTCTCCTCCCCTCCTCCTTCACCCTCCCATTGTTCTGGGGTTTTTCCGTTTGGGTTTGGTTTGGTTTTTCTTTCTCCTTTTGTGTTCCAAACATGAGGTTCTCTCTACTGGTCCTCTTAACTGTGGTGTTGAGGCTTATATTTGTGTAATTTTTGGTGGGTGAAAGGAAATTTGCTAAGTAAATCTCTTCTGTGTTTGAACTGAAGTCTGTATTGTAACCATGTTTAAAGTAATTGTTCCAGAGACAAATGCTTCTAGACACCTTTTCTTTACAAACAAAAGGATTTGGAGGGAGGGGATGGTGACCAAGATGAGGGGGGCTGCCCTTTTTCCCCAGGAGGGGAGTTCCGAAGAGATGACCCCTGCCCAGATCAGCCAGAAGCCACCCAAGGAAGTTAAGCCTAAACCAACGGACCAAATAGCTGATGTGTTGCCATTTTCAAAGAGCAAAACCAGGTTTCGTTCCACCCAGTGGATTCTGTTGCCTTTTTTCCCCCTGAGATTATTAGCATCATCATTACTTTCAAGGACAGACAAGGTTGGTGTCCCTTTGAAGGCAGAGCCGACCTCGCATCAGCGGGAGGAGGATAGGGCCGGCCCGAGCAGCACAGCTCAGACGAAAGGTGGTCACCTCCCTGGGGACCTCCACTGTGGCCACAGAGTCAAGTGTGTGTTCGCAGGGCAGATGGCCACTCTCCACCCGATGCGGCTCTTCCTGGACGGGCCAGGTGGTGGGCATTACCATTTGGGACACCTCCATCACATCCCACCCTGTCCCAAAGTCCACAACACTTCATGTGACCTGTAGATTCTTCACCATCCGGGGTGATCTGATGATGGGGGAGGGGTGCACTCTCTTTGCTGTCATCTGATCCCCAGCAAAATTTGGGCATGACAAATTCATGCTTCCCTTTCCTTGGCAAAACCAGATCCTTCTGAAAAAAGCCGTTACCCACACCATTGTTCTGGGCTCATGGAACAGGGACAGATGTGTGCTCCCTTAGCACGCAGCCCCCCCCCCCCCACCAAAGGCAAGGACAATGCTGACTGTCAAGACTATTTGCACATGGGAAGAACCAGGCAGGGTGGCTGCCCCCTCCTGATTCGCCGTGACACCGGTCGCCCTAGACAGAGGAGCTCCAGCCGGAAACCCGGCTGAGGGTGGGAGAGAGGTGTGTGCGGGCCGGGCCGGGGAGCAGCCCAGGACAGACTTGGTTAGAGATGTCTCCAAAAGCCCTCCATCACATTCACCTTTGGTTTTTGTGTTTTGGGACAATTACTTTAGAAAATAAGTAGGTTGTTTTAAAAACAAAAAATATTGATTGCTTTTTTGTAGTGTTCAAAAAAAGGTTCTTTGTGTATAGCCAAATGACTGAAAGCACTGATATATTTAAAAACAAAAGGCAATTTATTAAGGAAATTTGTACCATTTCAGTAAACCTGTCTGAATGTACCTGTATATGTTTCAAAAACACCCCCCCCCCACTGAATCCCTGTAACCTATTTATTATATAAAGAGTTTGCCTTATAAATTTACATAAAAATGTCCGTTTGTGTCTTTTGTTGTAAAATCAAGTGATTTTTTCATGAGGTTCTTTTACTATTTGAAAAGATGGGCAGCACGCAGTTTTATTTTATTTTTGTAAGTTTTTTAATACGTGTGAAAGCAAAGAATACTCAGCATGCCTTTCTAAGTGACGCGTTTGCACCTTTTGTTGGGAAGTACTGTATCCTGTGCTGTTAGCATTCTCGATAAATCTCTCTGTGAAAGTGACTCAAGGTCTGGGCTTTCATTATCAGACAGCTCACAGGACAGCACGGTGGTGTCTCCTGATTCCATCTGGCTGCCCCCAAACACGACAGCCAGCGGCTGTCAGGACGGCCTTGGGAGGAAAGAGCAGTCCCCTCCATACACCACCTCCCCCTGGCTTCCGAGGCTACGCCTTCCGGGCACACTGCTCCTGCGTGTGACAGGGAGCCCTGGGGTGGCAGGCCGGGAAGGGCCCGGTGCGGGGGCGGCCCACCGTGCCCCAGGTCCAGAGGCCAGCGGGCTGCAGGCCTTCTGCACAGAAGCACAACTTTCCCGCTCCTGGGGGCCGTGGCGGGGGCGCCTTCTCTGTCCAGGTGCTTTGGGAAACACCCAGCCATCCCCCGGCTGCTGCTCCTCCTGTGCCTGCCGCCCAGGACCCTCCCGAGGCCTCTGCTGACCTGGCCCCCTGCCCACAGGGGGCGCTGTCATCACCGTGGGTGTGCAGACCTTTTGCAAAGCCCGCATTCAGGAGCTGCGCGCCCTGCCGCAGCTGTTCTCAGCAGGCTGTTGCTGGGCTGGAGGGAACGACGGCTCAGAGCCCGGCTTCACATGCAAATGTGGACACAGCTGCTAAAAGGTGCACTCCAATATCCTGGCCTTGAATGTTAAAACAAAGGGTTGAAATGCGACCTGTGTATACTGAGCGTTTCTCGCGTGCCGGGCCCGTCCTGGGAGCCGCTGTACAGCAGTGAGCAAGGAGGAGCGCATTGCTCTTCCCGTAGAGCTCAGTGTGTGCGTGCAGGAGGCTTTCCCGCACCAGAGTCGGTTGTCTTTGTAAAGGCTGTCCCATGAGAAGCCACTGGGGCTCAGGGTGTGGCTGGCAATGGCTGTGGCTTCTGGGAAGAGCCTCCCATTGGAGGCCCATGTCGGGAGGACGGCCTGGAGAGGAGCCCACTACCGGTCGGGACTGGGGGCGGGGGGTCAGGGAAGGACACCTGTTGCCTTGCAAGCACGCATCCAACTGGAGAAACAAAAGAGGAAGGCACCGCTGCTGCTTGCTGGGGTCTTCCCCCATCTAGTGGGGGAGGCAAACAAGTGCAGAGGCTCCAAAAGGATGCCCCAGGGGCAGCAGGCAGCTCTGCCCAGAGGGAGCTAGGGGCCGAAGGTCCCCCAGGTAGCAGGGAGCAGTGAGAGCAATGGGCCTATGGGGAAGAAGCGGACTCCCCAGATGTTCAGGGAAATGAGCGGAGGATAGTGGCTGCTGGAATGGAGGAGCGCCAGAGAATCTCAAGAAGTCCATGGCTGCAGACCACTGTGGGAAGGGGCAAGAGATACTAACGTGGTGAAGACCTCAAGGAGGCTGGGAACCGAGCTTGGTGCCGGGGAGAGGCTGGAGTCTGCGGTCCTAGCAAGGGGGAACGCCAAGTGAGCCAGAAGCATGGCCACCAGAGGGAGGAGGGATGGCGGAAGCTGAAGGCCTGTTTTTAAGAGGTGTAAATACGTTTTATGGGCTAGTGGGAAGAGGCCAGCAAAGAAGGAAGACTTGCAAACACCGCAAAGAGCTAACAGTTGCTGGAGCAGGTTCCTCAAGGAGCGGAAAAGATAGGATGCAGCGCAGAGGAGGTGGGCAACAATGCCCTGAGCTGGGTAGCCTGCCCTGCAAGCTTCCAGACGCTTCTCCCTGCGCCCGGCCTTCCGGCCAGCTGCCGGGACTCGGCGGGGGTCCTCTGTGTGGCCCGTATCTGACCTCGCCCTGCCTGGATCTCTGACGACTCTGCACTGCCTCCCACATGAAGCCAGAAGTTCCTGCGGGGACCTCCCGGTGACTCTCCCAAGGCCCGGCTGTAGCCCGGTCTGGCGTGTCCCGGGCCGTGCCTCGCCCTTTGTCCCACGGCTCGGAACCGCGCTCCTCCATCCCTCGGGGCCCCATTCAGGCGGCCCCTCCTCCGGGAAGCCCGCCTGGCCGCCTCACAGGGCGAAGGGGCGCGGCCTCCGCGGGGAGAGACCACGCGCGGCGCCCCCGTCTGGCCGAGGGTCGCGGCGGCGGCGGCGGGCAAGATGGCGGCGGGCCCGGACCCCGCCCCTTCCGCCCCGCCGGGCGCCGCACGAGGCCGGCTTAAAGGGGAAGTGAGTCAGTGTCCGCGGACCCGGCCGGCCAAGGCCCGCGCCCGCCGCGGCCCCGAGAGGCCCCAGGAGGCCCTGGCGCGGCGGCGGCGGCGGCGGCGGCCATGGCCGGTGGGCCGGGCCCGGGGGACCCCGCGGCCCCCGGCGCCCAGCACTTCCTGTACGAGGTGCCGCCCTGGGTCATGTGCCGCTTCTACAAAGTGATGGACGCCCTGGAGCCCGCCGACTGGTGCCAGTTCGGTGGGTGGCGGCGGGCTGGGAGAGGCTGGGGCGGGAGGCGCGCGGGCCCCGGGCGCCCGGGCCTGACGCCTCCCGCCCCGCAGCCGCCCTGATCGTGCGCGACCAGACCGAGCTGCGGCTGTGCGAGCGCTCCGGGCAGCGCACGGCCAGTGTCCTGTGGCCCTGGATCAACCGCAACGCCCGCGTGGCCGACCTCGTGCGCATCCTCACGCACCTGCAGCTGCTCCGCGCGCGGGATATCATCACGGCCTGTGAGCGAGCGGCCCCGGGGACCCCGGGATCCCGGGCTGACCCAGGACCTCCCACGGGACTCCTCCCTCCTCCCCCTCCCCCGCCTGGGCCTAACCGCCCTTTTCTTCCCTGGCATCCCAGGGCACCCTCCCGCCCCCCTTCTGCCCCCCGGCACCAGCACCCCGAGGCCCAGCAGCCCCCCTGCACCCTCTGAGGCCGAGGCCCTCCGCCCTCGGAAGTTGCAGACGTCAGCCTCCACACTCCCCTCCCCAGGTAAGAGGGGCCCGGTGTGGGGCTTGATGGTCTTTTGGAAAGGTCCGTCTTGACCATGGCCACTGTCGTAGACCATGCCGCTGGTCTCTCCCTGCCTCTCACTGGTGTCTTTATGAAGTTTTTCCAGGCTCCCAAACCCATTCTGGGGCTGAGCTGGGTCCTGTCCCAAGCCCTGCTGCCCTCCAGCCACCACCACCATATCCAGACCCTTCCTCTACCAAGGTAGGTGGGGCCTGCCGGCAGAGAAAGAGTCAAGACGAGGAGCAAAAAAGGTAGCCTTTGGTACACTTGTGAACCCCAGCCAGCCAGGAGGGCCGGCCAGGAGGCAGCTGGGGTAGCAAGAGCTTGTGAGTTTCAGGTGCAGGGGAGGGTTTGGGGCACAGAGGAAGACAGAGGACTTCACCTGATCCAGGGTATCTTCCCACAGCCTAACCGGGAGAGCCCAGTGTCCCTCCTGCAGGGGGCCCACCCCTCTCCATTCTGCTGGCCCCTCACTGAGATTTCCCAAGGCACCCACAACTTCTCAGAGGAGCTGAAGATCGGGGAGGGCGGCTTCGGGTGTGTGTACCGGGCTGTGATGAGGAACACGCTGTATGCTGTGAAGAGGCTGAAGGAGGTGGGTGTAGCACCCCCGCAAAGGCCCTGGCCGGTCGTCAGCAGACCCTCGCTTCTCTGGGCCTCCCCCAGGACACGCTGCCCCGTGTACCTCCTTCAGCCCTCTGATTCCCCAGTTCAAGGTCCCCAGCCCCTCGGTTGTTCTGGGCCCGGGTCAGGTGGCAGTGAGAGTGGCCGTCAAGCCTTGGCCGCAAAGGCTTCACGCTGCCTCCCGCCCTCATTTTCCTTGGGGGCCGCAGGGGGCAGACCTGGAGTGGACCACAGTGAGGCAGAGCTTCCTGACCGAAGTGGAGCAGCTGTCTCGGTGAGCCTGGGGCGTCCCTCCCGGGTGGCGGCAGAGAGAGTGCCGCGTCGGGGCCCCATCGGCCTCCAGGACCGCGGACCGCGGTGCCTGGCTCCCTCGAGCCCCTGGGGACTGCCCACCCCCACGACAGCCAGCTGGAGAGTGTGGTGGAGGCTGGAGGCCAGAGCACTCAGGTCCCACTTTTGAAGCAGGTTTCGTCACCCAAACATCGTGGACTTTGCCGGCTACTGCGCCGAGAGTGGCTTCTACTGCCTCGTCTATGGCTTCCTGCCCAGTGGCTCCCTGGAAGACCGCCTCCACTTCCAGGTAGGCCTACTTGGCCGCACACACTTCCCCGGCCCCACAGTGCTGTCGGCACCTGGGCGCTCAGGTTCCGTGAGTGGGTCCCACCGGCAGGCAGGTTTGGGTCCGGGGTTCGGCCCGAGGTGGGTTGCCATATTCCCCGGCACCCTTTCCCGGGGCCTCCCTCTGGCTGCTCCCGCGCGCTGGGAAGCCTGGGTCATGATGCCTCTAAACGGGGGGTTACTGGGGCACCTGGGTGCCTCAGCGGGTTAAGCGTCTGACTCTTGATTTCAGCTCAGGTCACGACCTCACGGTTTGTGGGTTTGAGCCCTGGAGGCAGGCTCCGCACTGACAACATGGAACCTGCTTGGGCTTCTCTCCCCCTCTCTCTGCCCCTCCTGTGCTCCTGCTCTCTAAGTAAATAAATAAAGTTAAAGATAAAGAAATAAATAGTTAAGAATCAATCAATCAAATCAAATCAAAGGAGGGTTATTGACTCAGCGGCCGGAGTCAAGCTTCTCCCTTTTGCAAGCAGAGTAGCTGAGGGGTCTTGTCAGCATTGCCCCTGGAGAAAGGGGGCGGCGGACCGCACCATCCGGACCCACGACTGAGCCCCATCTCGTGACGTGCCCACAAGATCCAGGGGCTCACGGCGCTCAGGGACTTCAGCTCCGGAGATCAGCACGCTGTGCTGGGGGAGGTGGAGAGAACGCCTCCCTCCCCCGACATCCCGCTCACCCCAGGAGGAAGGGCGCACCCCAGCCATCCTCCCCTCCTTGGAAGAGCTTAGCCTTGACCTTCTTGTGAAGTAGCTCATGGACTTTTGGCTCGTGGTTTTCCAGAAGGGGAGACTGTGGCCCAGGCAGTGAAGTGACTTGTCTAGACCCTGCAGTGACAGGCGGAGGGAGGCTTGGGGTCCAGGAACGGGGGCCCTTCCAGCCTATTCTGCGCCCCTCTGCTTCCTCTGCCAGGCCTGCCCCCCTCTCTCCTGGCCTCAGCGACTAAACATCCTCCTGGGCACGGCGCGGGCGATTCAGTTTCTACATCAGGACAGCCCCAGCCTCATCCACGGAGACATCAAGAGGTGAGGAGGGGACACGGCCAGGCCCCTGCGGCCTCTGACGGCTGTCAGAGCGGAGTCCGCCGCAAGGGAATGATGCTCCCCAACCTTCTGCCGGCAGGGAGCAGTGGCGCTCGCTCTCCGAGTCCCAAGGAGCCCTGCTCTGGGTGTCCCCCATGAGAATAGGCCTGTCCTCTCCTGCCTGAGGCTGAGGTGAGGGACGGGCTGCAGCCCCGAGGCCCGGGCCATCGGAGCTGAGGGCCCCGGGTCACAGAGAGCCGGGCGCAGGACAGGTATGGAAGCAGAGGCTGAGGACGGGCCCCACCGAGGAGCAGGGGCTGGCCTGCGTGAGGGAGCCCCCGGGCAGCGGGACCGCCAGCCGCCGCCAGCCACTTTCCGTGGGCGAGGCGCGAGCTGGCAGCCCGGAGTCCTCTTCCGTCGGCGCCAGGCAGGTGTTGGGGTGTGGAGCGGGCCCGGGGCCGAGCTGACGCCGCCGCTTCCCTCCCCCAGCTCCAACGTCCTTCTGGATGACAGACTCATGCCCAAACTGGGAGACTTTGGCCTGGCGCGTCTCAGCCGCTTCGCAGCGGCCAGTCCCGGCCAGAGCAGCACCGTGGCCCGGACGCGGACCGTGCGTGGCACTCTGGCCTACCTGCCCGAGGAGTACATCAAGACGGGGCGGCTGGCCGTGGACACCGACACCTTCAGCTTCGGCGTGGTGAGCCGCAGGCCCCTCTGCCGCTTTGGGGAGGCGACGGGGGGGATGGGAGGCCGGGGCCCAGCGAAGGCACCAGGGCCTGAAGAGCTCCCCGTGGGGCCAGAGGCCGACCTGGCAGGAAGCTAACGGAGCTTCGGCTCCGGGGCCCCTCCCTCCCTGACACGGGCCCTCGCCTCCGCCCTGCACCTCACTCCCCGTGTGTGCTCCCACCGGGGCTCCGGTCCCATAACGCGCGGCTCCGTCCTTGCCGGCAGCCGGTCCCCATCTGCGCGTCCGAGGGCCAAGCCCCCGTCCGCCCGGATCTGTGCCTCAGCAGCCTCTTTGGGCCAGTCCACCCCACGAGCCCCCCCACCCCCGCGTGTGGCCCTCCCTGCCATCCCAGAAGCCACCGCCACACTCTCCGTCCTGCCCTCTCCAGGTAGTGCTGGAGACCCTGGCTGGCCAGAGGGCCGTGAGGACGCATGGTACCAAGACCAAGTATCTGGTGAGCCTCCTGAGGTGGGGCAGCGAGGGAGGCAGAGGAGAGAGAGAGACAGAGAGGCGAGGAGACAGCAGGGAGAGAGGCAGAAAGGGAGGCAGGGAAGCGCTACTCCTGGTAACCAACAGGTGCAGCCCTGGAGGGTGGAATGATCTGGAATGCAGTGCCCCACAGAAGCCAGCCTCTGCTACTGCTGACTCATCTTTGAAAGCAGGCAGGGCGCCAAACAGCTTCCCTTGACCTTGCCGAGGAAAAACCTGTCTGTCTTCTGCAGATGCTATGGCCTCTCCAGCCCCTACCCGGGCTGTGGGCGGGGAAGGGGGTGGCCCAACAGGACAGTCCCAGAGCTCGGGGCCAAGAAGCTGTGGTGGGAAACAGAACCCAGGGCCCCAGGGGAGGCAGTGGTGGGAAATCGGGCCAGCTGCTCCCCATTCGTCTCACTGTGGACTGAGACCTGGCTTCTAGTCCCAGCGTGACGGTCTTGGAGCAAATCCCTGCTCCTCACTGGGCCCGTTTCCCCACCTGCAAAGAGACTTTTTTATTTGTCTGCTTGAGAGAGACAGAGACCGTGCAAGTAGGGGAGGGGCAGAGAAAGGGTGAGAGGGGATCCCAAGCAGTCTCCGCGCCGCCAGCGCAGAGCCCGACGCGGGGCTCGAACTCCCAAAACCGTGCGATCATGACCGGAGCCCAAACCGAGTCGGATGCTTACCCGCCTGAGCCCCCCAGGCGCCCCTCCCCTGGGAACAGACTTAATCCCCGCGCCGTGCTCAGGCACTTCCTGGGCCGCTCCATCGGTGTTGGTTCTGTACGTGTGACAACTGGTGTACCTCCTGCTGCCCCTGTTCCCGCCTCGGGGTTGCTTCTGTCTGTTCCCAAGTTTCACCGGGTCTGGGCCGGAACCGGGGAGCCGGACGGGAGCCATGCTTCCCTCGCCGGCCTCATCCATGAGCACATCCCTCTGTCCTCCAGACTCAGCCAGCTCCCTGCTGCCTGCCCCAGGGCCTTTCTATGAGCCCTTCCTTCTGAAAGACCCCCCACCCCCACCCCAGGTGCTTCCTCCTGGTCCTTCCCATGTCAGAACTCAAGATGATCTCCAGTCCTATTTGCGCCCCTGGGTACCTCTCTCTGGGCCACTCCCCTCCCTTCTTAGCTCTGACCTCTGGCGAGTTCGTGCCTTCAGATCCCAGCTCGAGTGCTACTTGCTCAGGCCCTCGTCAGAAGCCCCACGGGCCTGTCCTTTGAAGTGTCCCATTGCTTTATGGGCTTGTTGGTATCTCTCCCACACCAGGAAGTCAGTTCTATGAAGGTGGACCCAGAGCGCTCCGTTTGTCACTGTGTCCCTAGGGTGTGTCCCGGCAGTGCTGGGCACACAGTGGGTGCTTAATAAGTCTGAACAAAGACCACATGAGTCCGTGATGAGAGCCTGGGGAATGGGACTGAAGGTACGACCTCCCCCGCAGTGGCCACACTCATAGTATCCGTCCCACAGAAAGACCTGGTTGAAGAAGAGGCTGAGGAGGCCGGGTTAGCCCTGAAAAGCACCCAGACCACACTCCAAGCAGGTCTGGCCGCAGACGCCTGGGCTGCCCCAATTGCCGCCCAGATCTGTAAGAAGCATCTGGACCCCCGGCCCGGGCCGTGCCCCCCTGAGCTGGGCCTGGCGCTGGGCCAGCTGGCTTGCTGCTGTCTGCACCGGCGGGCCAAAAGGAGACCCCCCATGACCCAGGTAGCCCTGCACAGCGGCGTAGGGTGGGAAGCACTTGGGACTCTGCTGCCCGTGGGGGACAGCAGCGTGTCGGGAGCCCTGTGTTCCTGGTGCTGCTCCGCGGGGAGCCGGACGTGGCAGCTGCCGGACCTCTTTCTAGAGCCAGGGTCTTCACACGTGTTTCACTTGCCCTTCAATTCCGCTTGGGGTGGCCGGAGCCCCACCAAACCCCACCTGCCAGACACAAGCAAAGGGCTTTGCCACGCCCCCTTCTGGGTACACTGTGCCACTGCATCTGCCTTTTCCTGGCCCCTCCCTGCCCCTCCCCTCTTTCCCTCTGCCCATTTGAGGGCAGGGGGGCAGTGAGGTTTGCTTTCTGGAAGAGAGGGAAAAGCCATTCTTGGTCCTTTATCTTAGGGGCCGTGACTTCTCGGCATTCCTTGCGACAGGGACAAAAGGGCAAAGGACAGATGCAGGGCGTGCCAGCTCACTGGTCCCCGCAGCCCCCCAGGAAGCCTGAGCCCCAGGACAGACCACGGGTGGCCTGGAGCAGGGCCCTCTTATGTGAGGGCCGTGACCGGTCCGCGTGGCCAGTCCTGGCCTGCCTGCGGAGAGCCACGGAGACCCCACCCAGGCTACCCCCTCAGAGCGTCTCTCTGTCCTCACAGGTGTATGAGAGCCTGGAGAGGCTGCAGGCGGCCGTGGCGGGGCCAGCGCTGGAGCCTGAGGCTGCCGGCCACGGCCCCCCTTCCCCCCAGGAGAACTCCTACATCTCCACAGCCGGCAGCGCCCCGAGCGCTGCCGGCCCGCTGCGGCCCCTGGCGGTTCCCCCAGGAGCCCCAGCCCCGGCTCCAGACTGGCTCCAGAAGGGCCCCAACCAGCCCGTGGAGAGTGACGAGAGCATGTCCGGCCTGTCTGCTGCCCTGCATTCCTGGCACCTGAGCCCGGGCTGCCCCCCAGGCCTGGCCTTGCCCGGCAGCCCCGGGCAAGGTGCCGCCGTGTGGGCCCCGGCATCCCTCGGGACGGCCGGCGGTACCGAAGGGGGTGCCACCCAAGCGTCGAGCTGGGGGAGCGGCCCAGGGCCCCGGCTGACAGCTATGGAAGGTAGCTGGGGACCGGTGCCCAAAAGAGGGACCAGGGGCCTCCTTTGCTGACGGTCCCCATACGCCCCACCCCCAGCCCTTTGGCAGGAGAGAACTGGGGGCCTGCTCTTAATCTCCCTGTGTCCTTAGCGAGCTCCAGGCCCTGACCTCCGGGTGGGTGAGAAGAGGCCAGGAGCTCACTCCCTGAAAGCTGGGAACAAGGAGGGCTTTATGCAGGACGGGGTTCCTGGCCCGGCCAGGAGCTGGGGCAACGGCGCGGCCCCTTCCAGGCCCTCCCGTCAGAGACAGCACCGAGGACGTGTGTCCCAAGGGGCAGGGAACTAAGCTGGGGCTGGCCAGGAGCGTCCCTGACGAGTTCCCGGGGACAGCGGCCCCTGCAGCTCAGAGGACACTCTCTCCACCCCAGGACCGCTCTTGGGTAGCTCTCTGTCATCACAGCCACCACAGATCGTCATCAACCCAGCCCGGCAGAAGATGGTGCAGAAGCTGGCCTTGTATGAGGACGGGGTCCTGGACAGCCTACAGCTGCTGTCGTCCAGCTCACTCCCAGGTACCCCTGGGACCGGCCCCCATGGGGCCAGGGGCTAGAGGCACGGGTGCGCCCTGCGGCCGGCCGGCCTCCAGGGCCGCTCGGGCTCGCCTCTTCACGCCGGCCCCAGACAGCAGAGCGTTTGTTCCGATCGGCATGGACGCGGCGCCTGCTCCCGAGGGGGGTGGGGGGGCGGGGGCAGCTCCGAGGCAGGCCACCCCTTGCGACGATAGCTGGAGACAGGCCTGCCCCCCACACCTCCCTCTGGAAGTTGTGTATTCGGGGCGAGGCCTCGTCCCAGCTCCCTCACCTTCTCTGCCGAGAAGCCCAGCTCCACTTGCTGACTGCCGTTTCCTCCTTCTGCAGGCTTAGGCGTGGAGCGCCAAAACAGGCAGGGGCCAGAAGAGAGCGACGAATTTCAGAGTTGATGTGTTCACCTGGCGGATTCCCCAAACCTGGAAGTCAAAGTTCTCATAGTTGCAAGTTCTCGTGGCTCTCGAATCCTCAGCAGCCCGTGGGCGGTGGGGGGTGGGGGTCTCCTCCTCGCAGGGGACAGCAGAAGGTGGCCTCAGCTGCTCCAGGTGCGCGGGCACAGGCTGGGCTCAGAGCCGGCTGCTAGCTGTCGATAGGCAGGACACCGCAAAGGCCTGCCTTTGTTCCGGCGTTTGGGGGACGGGCGAGCTGTTCTCATCGGAGGGGTGCAGGGGTGTGGGAGGAATGCGTGTCTGAAGGCTGCCGGCCTCGCAGGTCAGGGGAGAGATGTGAGTGTGGCTGCCGGGTGGAGCAGGGAGCTGGCTCCCCTAAGAACTGGGCAGGGCGGCCCTTAGCCCTTCCCCTGGGACTCGGCTGAAGCCCTGGGGGAAAGGGGCCACCGTGTAGGACAGAGCCAATGAGGCTGCGCCGCACCCCCCACCCCCCCCACCCCCGCCCCGGGCTCTTGTGATTCGGAAAAGTGAGGTGTGGCCGTCCTATGGTTCAGTTCACTAGCTAGAACGAGAGTTCGGAGCCACCCCAGAGAGCCCAGCGGTGTCCCCTCACCGGGCTGGTGTCTGCAGGCTTCACCGGGGACCTGGGAGCCAGCCTAGCGTGATCGCCTGGCACTCCGGCCCACCCCCGGGGGCGCCTCCTGACGGGTGCCGCGCCAGCCCCGGCTCCGGAGGCCACAGGCTCAGCCTCAGGCCCGGGCGCTGATTGTGACAGAGGGGCCACGAACCCAAGGCTGGGCTAAGCCCAAGCCTTGTGTTACCCGGCCGGTGAGGAGCCCCAGGAAGGGGGGGCGTTGGAAGCGAGGCGGAGAGGGACGAAGAAAACGGGACTCACGTTGTGAAAAGCAAGTCGGGTTTCATGTAACTGAGTGTCTTCAAAAGTAGCACAGGCTCACAGTGATTTTGTGTCTGCGGTCACGAGTCACACTACGTGCCCCGTGAAGCTAGGCGTTGGTGAAGTCCAAGCCGTCCGGAGGAATAAAAGCTTACGTTTCCATCTCTGCCTGTGCTCGTGCAGTTTTTTTGCCCTGAAAGCCTCGAGTTCTTCCAATGCTTTTCGTCTCGGGGTTCATAACTATCCAACCCAAAACATTGGACATGCTCCCCTCCCCCCGAAAATCGTCTGGAGCCTCTGGTTTCCGCTCCCATTGGTATCGTCCTTTCATTTTTAATTGATCATTGAGAGTTTCTGGAAATACAGTTGAGTTTTTAAGAATGGCTTTGCATCTTGAGCCTCGCTCAGGCTCACTTACTGGCTCTAGTAGGTTTTTTAATGTATTTACTTATTTTGGTGCCAAAGCCAAGGCATGAACCAACCTCTAGTCGTTTTGGGAGGGCGGTAAATACCTTGCGGTAGTCTACTTACACAGTCAGTTCTTCCGGAAATACAGAGACTTACTGCTTCTTTTCCGATCTGTGTGCCTTTCTTCTTTCCTTATTGCACCGGTTAGGGCCTCTAACCAAGTGTTGAATAGAAGTGGTGAAAATGGACGTCCTTGCCTTGTACTCAAACTTGGGTGCAAAATGTCGTCTTTCACCATTGCTAATATCCCTGGGGAGGTTTTGCGTCTATGTTGATGAGAGAGGTTGACCTGCATTTTTCTGGTAATGTGCACCTGGCTTTAGAAAGTGTTCCCTCTCCTCTTACGTTCTTTAAGGGCTCGTGTATGCTTGGTGTTACTTCGTTAAGTGACTGATGGGTTTGCCAATGAAGCCGTTTCTACGGGAGTTTTCTTTGTGGGAAGGTTTTTAGTTATAATTTCAGTTCCTTTAGGGGCACCTGGCCAGCCCAGTTGGTGGCGTGTGTGACTCTTGATCTCAGGGTTATAAGTTCGGGCCTCATGTTGGGGTATAGAGGTTGCTTTAAAATCTTTAGGGGCACTTGGGTGGCTCAATCGGTTAAGCATCTGACTCTGGATTTTGGCTCAGGTCATGATCTCACTGTTTGTGGGTCTGAGTCCCACGCTGGGCTCCATGCTGACAGCACAGGGCCTTCTTGGGATTCTCTCTCTCCTTCTCCCTCTGCCCCTCTCCCCGCTTATGCTCTCTCTATATAGAAAGAAGAAAAAGGCATGGAGCCTGACGTGGGGCTCCATCTCACCACCCTGGGATCGTGACCCAAGCTGAAATCAGATGCTCAACCGACTGAGCCACCCAGGTGCCCCAATCTTTTCCAGCTTCTTACAGTATAACCTCAAGTCATTTATTTTAAACCTTTCCTGGGGCACCTGGCTGGCTCAGTCAGTGGAGTGTGTGATTCTTGATCTCAGGGTCATGAGTTTAAGCCCCATGTTGGGCACAGAGCCTACTTGAAAAAAATTAAAACTTTCCTTGTCTAGCCTAAGCATTTAAAGCTATAAATTCCCTTTAAGAACATCATTAGCTGTATTCTATGCCCTTAGATATGTTCTATTTTCATTATCATTGAGTTAATAATGTTTTTTTTAGTTTTTTTAAGGTTTATTATTTTTTGAGAGACAGAGCATGAGCAGGGGAGGGGCAGAGAGTGAGGGAGACACAGAATCGGAAGCAGGCTCCAGGCTCCGAGCTGTCAGCACAGAGACCGACACGGGGCTCGAACTCATGGACCGTGAGATCATGACCTGAGCCGAGATTGGACGCTAAACCAACTTGGCCACCCAGGCGCCCCTGTTTTTTTGTTTTTAATTAAGTAGGCTCCATGCCCAACATGGGGCTTGAACTCACGACCCTGAGATCAACAGTCACGTGCTCTAGCCGACTGAGCCAGCCAGACACCTTGTTATGCATTTTTAATTACATTGTAGGACAGAGAATTTACAATGGCTAATTTCATTTCTTTTAAAACGATTGAGACTTGTATGGTTTAGCAGATGGTTCAGCTCGGCGAACATTCCGCGTGTATCTGGAAAGAGTGGATATTCCGCAGTTGGTGGCGCGAACTACAAGTGTCATTTGGCTCGAGGTGATTGGTAATGTTGTGTATGTCCTCGGTAGCCGTGCGGATCTTCTCTCCACCGGCTGTCTCTGGCCGACTGAAAGAAAAATATCACAGTCTCCAAATGCACTTGTGGATTTGTCTTTCTCCTTTCGGTTCTGTCAGATTTTACTGCATCTGATTTGAGGCTCCCTTTGGGCGCGTACGCCTTTAGGACTACGATATGTTCTTGATAAGTTGACCCTTTGATGACCAGGAAACGGCCGTCTTTTTCCCTGGTAATGTTGCTCCTTTCGACATCTGCTCTGTTCGGTGTAGCCACTCCAACTTCCTTATGCTTACTTTATTTCTTGGTGTGACTTTTTCAGTTGTGTTCTTCTAACCTGTCTGTGTCTTCCTTTCAAGTGCACCTATAGACGGCCTGTGGCCTGGTCTCGCTTTTGTAACCAGTCTCATAATCTCTGCCTTTGAATTGCTCTGTTTAGGGGCGCCTGCGTGGCTCAGTCAGTTGAGCGTCCGACTCTTGATCTCAGCTCGGGCCGTGGTCTCACAGTTTGTGAGTTCAAGCCCCAGGTCAGGCTCTGTCCACGCAGAGCCTGTTTGTGATTCTCTCTCTGCCCCTCACCCACTTGTGCTCTCTCTCCCTCTGTCTCTCTCTGTCTCTCTCTCTGTCTCTCTCTCTCTCAAAATAAATAAATAAAGAAACTCTCTCTCAAAATAAATAAAGAATTGGCCACTCAGGTGCCCAATCCATTAACACTGTAATGGTTGGATTTAAGTCCACCATCTTGCTATGTGTTTTCTATTCAAATGTTTCCGGTCTTCTGTCTTTTCTCCACTATTGGCTCGTTAGCTGTAATAGCGGAGACCACAAGTCCTACTCAGGACACCCCTTCCTGCACCGTGATCTGAGAAGTGCTTCGAGGCAGAAGTCCAGGCCGCTCATACGGGTCACGGCATCAGGTCTCCTTGTGATCACGGTCCGGCACAGCCTGTTGTCTGCGGGATTTTGCCTAGTTTTCTAGCTGTTTACTACCAGAGGGCTATTCTAGTAGTTGTTATCCCACCATGGCCAGAATCACAAGTTTCTCGTCTGTTCTGAGGAATTCTTCACTCCTGACGTCACCCCATCTTTCTCCTGCGTCCTCAGATAGGTCCCAGTAGCATCCACTCTTGAAGAACTTTGAGGCAACACCTCTCTCCAGTCACAGCCCCAACTCTTCGCTCCTCTTTACGGCGAAACTTCTCCAGACACTTGTCTGTTTCCTTACTTCTTCCTGTTGCCTCTCCAACAGGAGAGCTTCTAACCAGGCTTCTAACCTGGCTCCTACCCCACCACCCCGCCAAAGTGGCGTGTCGATGTCACCAGGGATCGGGTTGGCTAGTCCCTTTCTGACTTCATCCTATGGGCCCCTCGGACTGCCCTCCTCTCATGAACCTCTGCCACACCGCCCTGTCCCCTCTACAAGGTGGGAGTCCCTGGCGGGGGGGGGGGGGG